CACGATTAATTTGGCTTCATTTCTGCTCCTTCTCGTATCCCCTCACATGCCTTTATAATTGCCCCTGCCAGGTGGCAATATGAGGAGAAACAGGAGGAACTACTGCCGAACACCTCCAACAAGAAACTTGGCTTAAGAAAACAGGTGTCGCATTGTGGCAGTTCAATATTTCATAGCCAATACAAGGAATGTGCAACAACACTGCAACTTTAAATCTTTGCCTCCTGTGTCAGTCTCTCTCCTCTCATTGTAATGCCAAAGGGAACAGCAATCAGAGTGGAGATGTTCAACGTGATAGAGGTCAGGACACCAGTGGATCAACGTACCAGAAACACGACCTTGTTTATTTTTTTCCCCAGTATTATTGTTTACAGGGTGCTTTGCTCATGTACCTTGTGGTTCTTAGCTAAAAGATGAAATTACAGCCCAGGATGAAGCGCTCAGGCACACATCCAATTTGTGTTTCCATCTCAGAAAACAAAAAGCTTCTGAGGCCCTCGGGCTGCCATTCAAACTTGGAGAGGCTGACATTTTTAACAGCATGAACCAGAGACTGGCAGAGGGAATGATCTAATGCATTTCTGACTTGTCAATCAAAGATCTCACCTCTGCTGTCTTGTAAACAGTTGGGGGCTACCTAACTACATTCATAACCAGGGGAGAGCCTGCCGCCAGCCGGGGGGTGCTGCAGACACACACTCTGGCTATTTGTCACCAAAATTATGGTTCCGCTTTAGAGGCAGCGTCAACAGCCCACGGGCAGATTTCACACGGCCGCTGGGACAGCGTGAGGGGGGAACACAAAGCAGTGCTTGGTCAAGGGCAGCCACATCTCCACGCTGATGGAGTCTGCTGACTGGACACCCCATCTCTCTCCCAATTAGAGACAGAACTACACACACCAGCAAACACTGGCTCCCAAAGCCAATTTCCTTCAGATGTGTTTCTCTCAAACATGATTCTGAGCATGCACAGTCTGCCCACCCTGAGACTTTAGCTTTAACCTCCTGTATAACCATAAACAGTGTACTACTACTCACATTTACACTGTACTTCCCAGCAATAAAATGTCAACTTTTAAGGCAAAAATGCCTGAACAGGCCAAAGGAAATTCAGAGAGACAACCGTTTCTACAATTTACTGACAATGCCTTTTTAACAAATATTCCACTTCCTGACACAAAAATGTAAACATCAGGAAAAACAAACAAAAGACACAAAAATCATTTGGGAAATGAGTTTCTCTATTCCTCATGAGTACTGCCGGCTTCCATTACTACAGACCATTTACATCTTTCCTATGCTCACCTCTCTCCAAAAGTGATCTCAGTCCAAAGACACAGTATACATCATGTCTGCGCTGCACCACCGCAAGTGTGCTCCTGTTTACTTCAATTTGCCTAGCACAGTCCACCCGTGTTTTTCTCAACCAGGACAGAGCTTCCTGCCAAGACCAACAAAGGCAAAACCGAGCAGTAGGTAGTCCCCTTCATCTGACAAACCCTAATGTGCAGGTCTTTATTAGCAAGACCTTCACTTCAGGTAAAGCAAAATGTGAATTTCAGGCATTCCAGAGACACTTCTGTATTTGGCAACATGCTGCTACCTCCGCCACAAAAGTTAATCCTCCTCTTTGACTACTAAAGCCAGCTACAGAAAGACAGTTTCAGACCCTGCAAAATAAAGCCAACAAGACAACTCTGCTTTTTCACTGGTGCACAAAGAAGTAGAAGCAGGACTCTTGTCCCAGAAAGTTTGCAATCAAAACTGAAGCTGGCATTTTTGATGGGTGTCAATTAGGTAAAAAGGAAGAGCTGGACTGTTCCCTGTGCTGACCCTGACCTTTGGCAAGACTTTTAAATTGCTCCACAAGTCTCCTCATTTATACAGTAGCTTACAGAAGTAAATTCAAGGAAATACTATGGTATTCTACAAATCTGGAAGGATTAATACAAAATCATTTCCTTGACATACTTGATAGGTGTAATTGTAAATTAGAATTTTCAAAGAACTAAGACTGTTAGAGGTAAAATGAATAGAGCCTTGTGAGCATGCATGGAAAGTATTTTAAAAGGCAAAGTAATTATCTTCAAATGAAAAGTGCCATGAAAACAGACACTTGTTGGTACATCTGGAAACTTCCAAAGCATGGATTTCTAGGAAAAAGCACATAGTCTGCATAAATATATTATTATTATTAAGAGAATATACATGCAACCTAGTTTTCTGCTTTGCAGAATAACAGTACAGTAAAATTTGGCATCCCAGACACTGGAAATGGAACAGCTGGCCTTTTTCTCTTGCTAAAATATCCTCTTCAACCCCTTCCCACAGTGCCTTATAGAAGTTCATGTTCCAATTTGCTTCCATCTTCCACCATGATCTCTATGAAATTCAGTTACACAATAGTCTATCAGTAGCAAAGGCCTTTGAGATAAAAGATGTTAAAAAGAACTGTTTCTAGCTCCTTATTCCCCTCTTCGTGGGTTTAGCCTTAAAACCTTTCCCACTGTGGGAGGATTACTAAACAGAGCTGAGGAACCAGAAGATCCTGTTTTCACACAAGCATCTCCAATAATAAAAACACACAAAGAAGAAAAATGAAGTTATCTGACATGTTTCCAGAATCATCTCTAAATCGACTACCTGCCAATGCTTCCCATGAGGAGTCAGCAGGGCTTTAACTGAGCTATTCAAAAAGCGCCTCTTTCCACATTTCTGTCTGAGAATCTGAAGGTAAGCATGTAAATAACTAGACAAATTCAGCAGTGACTAAGTAGCCTTCCAGATGGCATCTTCTCTTTTGCCACAAGCAAAGAACATTGATATGCTTCTCCAGTTACTACAAGCTTGCTACAGAAAAAAGAAAATAACTTAATATGACAAAATTTGCTGGGCTACAAGAAAGTCTTTAACGATTTCCTGAAGATTCGATACAAAAACCACCATTAAAGAACGATGAAATATTGCAACATCACTGCTTCGAGCAGGCTCCAAACCACTCCCATGCAGACTTGTGTACTGTGAAATGCAGAAGCCATGCCTCATAGAGGGGAATTTTCTTTAAACCATGCAAGTTAATGGGGAATCAAAGCCCAGTGAAAAAAAGTGGACTGAAATATGGATGACTCATTGCTGCAGAAGCTGTTACTAGCAATTTAGTTTCTCTCTTAAATGGCACTAAATATGATCCTCTACATAGCAGAGCACTATGAAGAGTACCAGGACACCATTTTAGATGGCAGTGGGGCAGACTTTCCCAATTCCCACAGTCACTAAACACACATGGAAATGTCTCTCAAGATCTTCAGGACTACAAATGTCCAAGCCCTACTACTCTCCCAAGAAGGCAGTACATGGTGAAGGGTTGTGCAGCTGACTCTTCTGACCCCGAATATCAATGTGCTGCATTAGCAGAAAAGTTATTGTTTGTATCTAACATTAGCAAGAACATTTTGAGCTAAAAGAGGCTAATTTCCCTTCCCCTTTGCAATATATGCTTATTTGGAGTAATCAAAAATAATTCAAGTAGAAAGAAAGGAGTCCCAATTTGAGTTTATAAATTGCTTTCCATATACTGTTACGGTTCCCTAAAACCTGAGCTTAAAGAGATCTGAGATTTATTCAAGAGCCAAAAGCCCAAAAATAAGGCCCATCCGATTTAGTCAAATTATGCAAATCAGGATTAGAAGTAGGAGTCTAAACTCTGCCGGTTGTCTCCAGAGTGCTCTTAGACTAATAAAAAAGTCATCTTCCCCCTCCCCCACGGAAAGCTCTGCTAAAAGCTTGCTTCAGCAAAGGAGGCCTGGCAGGACACCTTCCAGAGTCCATCAGCGCTACTGCTGGGTCAGCAAAAAGAGTTGCAGCAAAATGATGCAAGACACTTAAGCCTCCCCTGAGACTGAGAGGATTATTTCCACAGTACTCTCCTAGCCCGCGGAGCAAGAAGTCAAATTCAAAGTAATCTTTGCATGCTTTTAGAGATAGATAATGAAAATGATAATAAAATAACCAATATGACTGAAAATTTCAGAAGGATTCTAGTGTATTCATTATGTCTGGGTTTGCAAAATGCTGCTGAATAAAACTCTGCCACAGATTAGGTCAGCGGTAGCATAATCCAGCAACATAAAACTTGAAGTAAACGTTCGTGGTACTCTGAGCTCCAGTAAACACACTCTCTACAGAGATACTCCTAAGGTCCTTCAGTCTCTGCAGTTCGCACATCTCTGCTTCCCAGTCTCTGATGTTTATATCCACATGTCATCATAAAATGCTTGCAATGATCTTGAGAGCTTTGCCTAGGTTTCTAGATGCCTACCCAATAGCTGCCTCACTCTCTACCCACAGGAGTGTGTCTGCATTTTCTAAGATTCATTGGTCACCCAAAGTGCCTGAACAAACCTGTTCGGTAGAAAGCTGTCTCATGACAGAGAAAAGCTTGTGCCTTATAAATTCAGAAACTAAAGGGAAAAAAAAAAGAAAACAGGTTTCCTTTATTCGCCTTTTGATTAACAGCTTACTTGTACAACAGTTTTCTGCAGTCAAAATGTCCAGACCACTGATAACAAACCTGAAGTAAACAAATGCTGGCATCAATTATCACTATGGCAATGAACCCACCCCCTCCCTCCTCTGAGTGGCATACAGAAAATTTAGATAGGAGGGGAATCACTGCATGAATAGCCAGATTGGAGACTGTGTGATGGAGACTGTCTGCCAAATATAATTAAGTGGTATACTTTTGACACAATTGAAAGTCAATGGAAAAAGATGATGGTGCCAAGCCAACTTAGGCAAAATAATTCTGTTGAGGTAATGGAAATGCCCCAGCACTGAGCTGCCCTGAATCTACACAAGATGGGTTTAAATACCAGAGATCTGAATGACATCAGAGAGGCATACAGTATGAAGCAGAATAAATGGAGGTAAAGCAAGTAAAGAAGAAGATGCACACATACACAGATGATAAGAAAAGAAGTAGGGAGAGACAGAAAGTACCTGGAAAGCTGGGAGTGCGCCAGTCCCTGGGTTATACAGGCATCGCAGCGAGGGCATGCTGTCCGCCAGGCTGGAGCAGCCCAGCCACAGAGATCTGGGCATAGAGCACTGCAGAGAAAGGACAACTATGAGATGGGACTGTATGAGACAGGATGGCACAGATTACAGGAACTTTCAAGGCTTAGCCAAATGGCATCAACACAACTGCACCTGGCCTTAAAGACTGAGACATCTTTTAAGAGAATACAAACTGCTAATGAGTCTTTTCCTCGAGAGAAGCTTTACAGATGTCATAGTACCAAGAAAAAGGCACTATAGATCAAGAAAGTAGTTTTTTTAATCAATTTTCTACACCAATGTGTGAGTTTTTCCAGTAACAAAAAGTTTCTTTCCAATTAATCAGACCTCTTCTCCATGCACAGCCATGCTCCAGGCACGACACAAAGCAAGGAATTTTGCAAGGGAAGCAGAACAGGAAATGGCAACTTTAAGTGTAATACTGGCAGGGAAAGAAAAAGTTTGGGGTTTATCTGTAAAGAGAATAAAAGGAAAAACCTGCAATCCCAAGTTAATGGGAAATTGGTGACACTTTATAGGAGTTTCATGTTTCTGCTTGCCTTGTTATTTATTAAATATATATTTGTTATATTTGTTACAGTTATTACAATAAATCAATTCTGTTCCTCCAAACACAAATAAAGGAGCCAAAAGCAGCCAATCAAGGAAAATACTAGCCATTTTGATAGTTAAAGCCATTACCCCTGAAATACAATGAGTTGTTTGTTCATTTTACACCACTACTATGAAATTTAGGGATGCATTATGATAGCAATTGCTTTCACCAGTCACAGAGTTTTTGATGCCATAAGCACTGCTGCATTTGTCTAATTACTGGCAAGGCAGAAAAAAACCACAAGGATATTTTAAATTGGCAAATAGCTGTGAAAACTGTAGGATGTGACAGATTAGATGCTAGAGATTTCTAACCCTCATATTATTCTTTTTCGTAATTCTTCCCCCTCCCCCCTCATTTTTTCTTAAAGGGGGATGGAAAGAAATCTGAGCAGAATGGGCAGCTGGAATGGGGATGTAGTGACAGCTGCCTTTTGAGCCACAGTTTCTTGCTGCTCTTAAGAGGGTTAGAAAACCTTGCACAATCTTGCATTAAATTAGTATGTAAGAGCAACATAACCCATCCTTAAATGAGAAGAAAGGTGAACACCAACATCCATAATCTGGTACTGTGCAAACAGCCACAGAGAGATTAACCCTGTCTGTCACCACATTCTTCGCTGTACTTTGCTGCAATTCACACTGTTGTTCCAGAAAGAATATTAAAAGATTGCTGGGAAACACAGCCTATACAAATGTGCTTATTAGAAGTTTATGATACCTTAGAGTAAATTCCTCACCTGATTTTCATTTTAAAAAAAACCTCTTCACATTATAAAGACAGTGATTCTCAAGAGCTTGAGTATTTCACAGTATTACATTACATAAGTCTGTAGATAATGCCCCTTCTGAAGACAAAAGCAAAATAGACCCATAGTCTTATAACAAGCAACAAAATCTGAGCCATACTTCCTTGTCTGCCACCCTAACCTCCCCGAAAACAAACACTCCCACATACAGAAACCTTCGAAACGACAGCAATCTTTTCTTTGTAATGTAATTTGTATCACTGCAGCAACTAAAAGCTGTTGTGACAGTCAGCCTTAAATATATAGAAATATACATATATATATGCGTGTGTGTGTGAGAAGTGGACATCTACTATTAAACACTTCCCCAACTGGATAAATTTATTTAAATCAAAGTTATTACTTTCCAAGAACATCACTGTAACAAGGGAGATTAACTACAATATGGTACCTCTGGTGGTGCAAATTCACTAGGTAAGCATCAGCTGCTTACCATTACCCATCCTGGATTTCTAACTTAACACAAAATAAGTATAGGATGACTTTTGTCCCCATATAGACTTATCAAAGCCTTGCCACAATCATTTATTCCCTTGTCTCAAGCTTTCTCATCCCTTGTGCTGTCTCAAGTTTTCATGCTGTGATAATGAACTCAAAGAACTGATTGCCATTAAATTTGATTGACAAGATAAAAGAAGTTACTTTAAATATTTGTGCTGACCAAAGAAAGATACAGAGGCAGAAAAATGAGGCCCACTCTGTTAGTGGGAAGGCAAGAGTATGCTGCCTCAAAGTTTATGTGAGATTATGGCTCAAATCAGAGTCACTACAAGCTGCAGGTAGTGCGCTCCATTGTGCTAGGGCATTTACAAGTTAATGAAAGTCTTTCTCCAAAGTTGCCATGATTACAAAGGGAAACATTGGAAGTCTATTCTGGAGAACTCTTTGTACCTACAGAGGATACCATTACTCACCCAAGCACTCCCGCTACTTAGAATTATTCCAGAATTCGGAATTATGCAGTAAAAAATTGCCAGCACCTTAGATGACTTCTGAATCTGCTCCAGTATATAACAAATTTATATTACTAATACAGTTCTGTTACCTATCCTGAAAAATAAGTGTGAAGCTGCACACAGTGTGGGAGAAAATGTCATTCCTGTACTTGCCTTTTACCTATTGAAGGAAGCAGAGACGCTAAATTACTGTTGGTGACTGAAAGAGGCTTATTCACAAGCATGAACAAAAGGCCCCAGGTGCTTCAATAGAAACAGCTTGTGTGTAAATCAGATGAGTGACCCAACAGAACAACTTCATTTACAGCCTGATCTCTGAAAAATCTCAACAGCCTCTATCCCCATCCACTGAGCAAGCCTCATGTCAAACACTCACTTTTGTACTGTCAGCTCCACAAACAAGGGACTGGCCTCAGTGTTCCTACTTGAAAGCTGACTGACAAAATCCTCTCCTGAACTCAAGTCAATCTACATCGATTCTTCAAAACAAAGATACAGAGGCAAAGCATTTGGACTACAGCCAAATGAGAATGCTGATATTGCCTGCTAAGTACTGGGCCAGGATGCAGCAGTCTCTCTACCTTCCTGACTTCCCATTGCATTAATACTTCAGATGTCTGCACAACTTTTGGACCCAGAGACCCAAAGCTTTTCATTTATAAAAGCTAAGCATCCTTAATACACATTGAACCGCATAAGATAGGGAATTATTTGGCAAAACACACAATGTCTTTTCCCAAATGATTTTTAAGTCCCATTCCCTCATCTCTGAAACATGTTTTCCCACTAAAGAAATACAGGGAACACAGTTCCAAACAAAACCAGCATCCTCCTCCTGACAGAGGCCAGTACCAGCTGCTCCACTGGTGATTAAAATGGGCTTGTCTTATTTTGAATTAAAATAGGCTAGAAGCATCCACAGTCACTGCCTGAGCTGAGGGGGCAGTAACCACAAGCTGAAGGGAAAGCCATATTTTAACCTATTCAATTATTCTTGGAACTATATTGCAAGAACATTCTGACTACATCAGATGTTCTGCCTCTAATAGCCTACCCTCTCTTCCAATTATCTGATGTCCTAAAGACAAATCTCAATACACATTCAATGGCTAAATTTTTGCCAGTGCTAAAAATTGGTTATTTACTTTATTTGCTATTGCATTACAAGGTTATACATTACCATTTCAGACTGGGTTGGGGCTTTTTTTATCAAATTTGTTCTCTTCTAGTCCTTCAGAAAATACAATATACTAGGGGGTAACTAATACAGTTTTAGCAAATTGTGTTACAGGTCAGAAATATATCACCTTGTCCTGTAAAACTAAGTGGCTCTACATGGAGAAAAAAACAAAGTTCTGAGACTACTACAATTTGCAACTATAGTGTACAGGTGTGAAAACACAAACTTGCCTTAGAACAAGAACTAGAAAAAAAAAACAAAAAACAAAAAACAACAACAAAAAACAACAACAAAAAACCAAAAAAAACCAAACAGCTGAAGGATATTTTCTTTATAAACATTTTAAAGAAACTATTTAGACAGTAGTACAGAATGACTGTCTTTAACTGTGGTAATATAATGAAGTGTAATAAGCTGTTATCCCTGTCTGAACTCTACACTCAATTGTATGATAGTGTGTGTGCCTAAAACACCTTTGATTTACAGACAACCTAACATATTTTTGCACATCTTCAAAAGCTAGTGGTAAAGCCAGAAAGGAAACCCATTTTTCTTAAAAGGGCTGGGTCTTGGCCAACCGTACATAATACTAATTTGAGCTTCTAACCCCATCTATTTCAATCCTTTTCTAGTTCAAGATTATTTCCCTTCCAGTACTGTGGCCAGTGCTTCATGCAGTTGAACTCTAAAGATAAACCAGTAACAATTTCTACTTCTCTTAGGAGATGGGAATTAAGATCCTGTTCACACAATATCTTCATTAAGGAGCATAAATAGAACATGACACACTTTGACAAGAGCTGAAGAGTTTAACACCTGAGAGAAATGAAGCTTTTTCTGGTCCAGCTGATCAGAAGCCAGAGAACTGGATAAGGTTGTACAAATTAAAACAGAAATAAATTGTAACTATTACAAAAAACAGGGTAAAAGAGGAAAAGAAGTGTTAGAAATTCTACTACCCAGACTGGAGCAGATAAAACATAAGGGATGCTCTGAAGAGTATTAAAACTATATACACCAGATCTGAGCTTGATATGAGGATACAGGTCTTTTCCCACTTTTTTTCATCACTTCAGAAAGCAAATGTGGGATGTCTGGCAAGTAGAATTCTCCTGAAAGTCGCCTTCACAGTACCATTTCCTGCATGCTCTCTAAAATCTAATTCTCAGGAAATGTGCCTCAGGAATTTCAAACCTTTACGGTGTTTTACAAACACATGCTCAGATGTTACTAGGATTCCTAATATTCACATTTATTTTTATATTATAACACAACAAGTGGAAGAACAAACCCCAACGCTTTTTAATCCCACTCAGTTCCTCTTAAAGTCTTATTTGGCCACATATTTGAATAAGCCAAAGCCAAAAATGTAACACACATCACTTTCACATTGTGTCACCACAGAATGCAGCATCTTGTATGAAATGTATCAGAGAAGGCAGCTGCTATTTACATCACAAACGTTGGTCTCACCACACTTAGTAA